TGTTGAATCAGGGCCAGAGTGCTCAGAAGCTTGTAAGATCAACCCCTCAGTAAGAGAGCAGAAACAGAAACCATGTGGCCAGTCACAAATAATTATTGCAGTTTGTTGTATGAAAGTTAGCTATTTATAAGAAATCTGTAGGTTAACTACATGCAGAACAAATTATTCGAGTAATTTTCTTAATGAATAAGTTCATGGAAATTGCAGTCTGCTTATGGCATGCTGTTTGAAGAAAGGTTAGGTTTGAATGAAGAGAGTAGGTTTTTGTATGGCAAATTATCTTCTAAACTTTGATAACAACCCCTTTTTACATACAGTTAGCCTATTAATAACACGTATATGTATTTGGTTTTTTACAATTTGTTGAGGTTACTTGACAAAAAAAAATACAGACACACCGTTTTCTTATTTATTGAAATACTCATTCGACCTATGCTTATTTATATTAAATTAATATTTTTATGCTACCTAGATAAAGCTCATGATATATATTTCTTATTTTATAATCTTATTTTTTACCATATTTAATTCACAATGAAGAAAATTAAATCTATCAGATGTTGCTTGTTAGTTACTTGAGATCCTGTCACTATACAGAGATCAGCTTGATTTTACTGTGTTTACTGATGCCAGACTTTTTTATTGCAATTAAACCTTAATTTCAGCTGCTGTTGTTGAACAAGTGTGCTTTGAAATGTTGTTTTCCATCAAGCTCCACTGGGTTTTTCTTTCTAATAAGTTTCCGTGATTCTGTTCCCCACGTAATAGTGCTGTCACAGCTGGCATTAATAGGTACTTTTCTACCAAATTGTAGAAAGCCATCATCCAGCAACCACCCATCAAACAGAATAATATACAACTGTAGAGCTGAAGTACTTTTACAGCAGAGACTATTATCATTATACCCACTTAACGGGGTGGAACAGAGGTAAGGAGCTATGAAGTGCTTTGCCTAAAGACATCCAGCAAACCAGTGGCAAAAGTAACCACAGTACCCAGCACAGTGTACTGCAGCGTACGTGCTGTAGATTGAAGGAATACAAACTGATATATACTCTCTTAAATAAATCCCTTTACATGGTATCCTGGAGTGATAGGAGGTTGTTGTGATTTTTGTGATGTTAGGTTGTGTGAACAAAGTTTACTGCTGTTTCTGCCCCTGCTATGCCAATTTTCTAGTTACAATGCAGACTTAACAGTCTTGATTGTCAATTTGTCACCCTTCTGCAACAATACGTGTACTATAAAGCAGAATAAAGCATTTGAGGCAAGAAAGGAGCTGTCTGTAGTAACATGGAAGAAAAAAAATGAGATGAATTTATTCACATGGCTAGCAATGAGGAAACGTATAGCAGAACAGAAACGTAGAAAATGTTGAAAGAGAAGGAAGAGAGATTAATTATTTCGTTTAGTTTATTTTCAGTAAACTATAGAATCATTTGAAACAAATTCCAGCTAGGAGAGGTAGCAGTGTTAACTGATATTGTACTGGGTGATTTTTCTAAATTGGACTAAGAGCTTCAGATTCTTTGTGGAAATTGTGAGTTTTATTAGATGTGCAATGTATGCCTAGGGTATTCCTGTAAAACTATGTAAAACCATTGTAAAACTATGACTTCAAATATGCTGCACTACTTTAAGCAAAACTTTTCAAACTAAAATGCTTAAATTGTGCATATGAACCTGCACTTCTCAAAGTGCACAAACGCGTGTATCTGTCATTCGCATTAATAGGATTCTAGTCTGCTTTTGCAGCTTTTTTTTTTTTTTAAGAAACAGAACAATATCTTTTTCTCAATAAATTATCTTCTAATTCTTTATTAAAATGAAGCTAAAGTTTTTAGGTTGTGGAGGGGAAGATGGGAGACAAATCTGGCAAAGAATGTCTTCATCAAACAATTGACTGAGATATTTCATTTAGGGTGAAACATGAGAGTCAAAACATTTCTAGGTAAAGATTTGAGATTTCTGTCCAGCAAAGCTAAATGCATACCCTTGTTCGGCAAAAAAAAGCATATGTGGAGCTTTAAGACCATTCTCATGTGATGTCTGTATAGGAATGTTTTCATAAGTCTAGGAACTTATTTTTTACTTTAGAAAATATATGTAGAAAGTGATAGCCAAAATACTTAACATTGGCTATTAGGTTCTTTTGAAGAATTAATTTTGTGCAGCTGTCTGAAACATCTAAAACTCTTTAGCTTGGGCTTGAAGAAAAATTTAGAGATAATTTCTAAACCAGTCTTGTTACTTAATATGCATACTTCATGCATGCATATACACTTTGAGTTTTTAATGCCTCTAGCTCTAGTAAATCAAAAATGTTTCTCCTTTCCCTATTGCTTAAAAAGTTTCTGTTTCAAATAGGAGCTACTTCCCTATCATATTTCAGTTTTGCAACCCTAATTACTCAGACTTTAGACCCTGATGGGATAGGGTTTTTTTTAAGGAGAAAAGTGTTTTTGTTATTTTCAAATCTTTTCCCATTCTTCTGTTTAACAAAAAGCATTTAGCATGCTTTTCTTCAAACTTTTTAGATAAGAGTAATCACCAAAGTGAAGATGAGTTTTAGTCTTTA